AAGGGCAGGGCCGCGGGCTCGGCGCTGGGAACAAAGTGGACCGGCGGAAGGAACGTCCCCAATCGATCCCGGAGCGCTGCCGGGGTGGGCCGGGGGCTTAGCTCCGGAGAGAGGTTTCCCACTGGACTCGTGCAGAGCCCCGCCCTGCTGCGCCGGCCCTGCGAGCGCCAGTTTCCTCATCTGACAGCTGGGAACAAATCCTTCGGGAAGTGTCTGAGACCCACGAAAATGTTTTAATATCTTTTATTTTTGGTAAAAAGTACTAAGCGCGACCGGGCGTGGGGGCTCACGCCTGTAATCCCAGAATTTTGGGAGACCGAGGCAAACGGATCACTTGAGGTCAGGAGTTCGAGACCAGCCTGGCCAACATGGTGAAAACCCGTCTCTACTCAAAATGCAAAAATTAGCCGGGCGTGGTGGTGCACGCCTGTAATCCCGGGTACTCGGGAGACTGAGGCAGGAGAATCTCTTGAACCCAGGAGGTAGAGGTTGCAGTGAGCCAAAATTGCACCATTGCACTCCAGCCTGAGTGAAAGAGCAAGACCCTGTCTCAGAAAAATAAATAAATAAATTAATTGAAAGGGCCGGGCACCAGTGGCTCACACCTGTAATCCCAACACTTTGGGAGGCCGAGGCAGATGGATCACCTGAGGTCAGGAGTTCAAGACCAGCCCGGTCAACCTGGTCAACATGGTAAAACCCCTTCTCCACTAATAATACAAAAATTAGCTGGGCGTGGTGACAGTCGCCTGAGTCCCAGCTACTCGAGAGGCTGAGTCACGAGAATCGCTTGAACCCAGCAGGTGGAGGTTGCAGTGAGCCAAGATCACACCATTGCACTCCAGCCTGGGCAACAGAGTGAAACTGTGTCAAAAAAGAAGAAAGGAGAAGGAGAAGGAAGAGAGAAGAGAAAAGAAAAAGTACTAAATGCAGTGGAAAGTAGCATTTTTAATTTTTTCTTTTTAAAATGGAAGAAGAGCCCACAAAGCAAAAGTGCCCAGAGCCAACAGAAATCTCTGGAGAAGGGACCTCTCTGGTAGTTGCCAAAGGGAGCAGCTGATGCTGTTGTGAAGCCCGCAGCACGATTCCTAGTGTGAAGTAGGGGGTGAGAGTATGACAGGCTCTGATGATCACGGAAAGATTTTTGTTTGGTTGTTGTGTTTTTGTTTTGTTTTAATTTTAGATTTGGTACATGTACAGGTTTGTTACATTGATATATTGCGTGATGCTTCTAATAATCCCTTCGCCAACCTTTTTCAACTTTTACCCCCCTCCACACCTTCTGCCTTTTGGAATCCCCCATGTCTGTTGTTCCCATCTTTGTATCCAAATCACGGAAAGTTTTAACCAGGGAGATTAACGCCATCAAATCTGGATGTTTTCAAAGGTAATGCCCATGGCTGAGCACCATGGCTCACACCTGTAATCCCAGCACCTTGGGAGGCCAAGGGGGGAGGATTGCTTGAGACAAGAGTTCAAGACCAACCTGGGCAACATAGCGAGACACCGCCCCCCGCCCCCTGCCCCCAGCCAGATATGGTGATACCCCTGTAGTCCTAGCTGCTCAGGAGGCTGAGGCAGGATTGCTTCAGCCCAGGAGTTTGAGGTTACAGTGAGCTATAGTTGTGCCATTGCACTTCAGCCTGTGTGACTGAGAGCCTGTTTATAAGGAAAAAAAAGAAAGGTAATGCCCATGTCAGTAAGGAAAGAGTATTAGAGAAAAGAGCTCCAGAATACTGATAATAGTGACTATTTATGGAGAACTTATAAGGGAATATGTCTTCATTTATTCAACAAATATTTATTGAGTGTCCCCTAAGTGCCCAGCACTATGCTGCTTCCTGGAGCTCGGTGAACAAATTGGACGTGATCTTTGCCCTGGTAGAGCCTACATTCTGTTGAAGGAACTGAATGGGTGGGGAGGGGGTGGGAGGAACAAATAAAATAAGGACAGAAGGTGATCAGTGCTAGTATTCTGTGGTAATAGGAGAGATCTTCTTGGGGAGATCAGAGATGGCCGCTGAGAAACTTACATTTGAACTGAGACTCATGTCGTGAAAGGGCCAAGCAAGCTAAGGCCCAGGCGAGAGCATTTCCAGACAGCAGAACTGCCAGGGCAAAGGCCAGGCATGCATACTTGGAAAAGAAAGGCCACTGAGACCGGCACCTGGCAGGCCAAGGAGAAATCTAGATGAGGTGGGCAAGGCAGGGAGGGCCAGATCTTGGGAGGAAATTAGGTCTGTATTAACTGACGGCCATCTCTAAGGATTGAATGTAATAAGGTATGCCAAGCACTGAGCAGAGAGCTTGCACATGGTAGATGTTCAACAAGTATGCATCATTATGAGGAACATGAAACGTTTGGTTTTTTTTTTTTTTTTTTTTTTTTTGGTTTGCTTGCTCTGAGCGGGTGAAAGGACATTTGAGTTTTCAAAGGCATTTCTCCTAGCTGAGGGGGCCTTACAGAAGGAAGTGAGAAGGTGAGAATGTAAATTAAGAGGCTTCAGTGAGCATTAACGCAGGCTGAGAAGGAGCTGCGGCTAACTGCTGTGAAGTTGGTGTCAAGTCCAGAGGATACAACAGCCTTGGAGGTGGGAGATGGGGGCCAGGAGCAGGGGCAGGGAAAATGCTGCTGTGACCCCCAGCTTGTGTGCCTGGGGATGGCCCACGGCTGAGACAGAGAACCCAGGAGGAGGGCAGGTTTCTGCAATGAGATGATAATGAGTTCAGATTGGGTTGTGGTGAGTTAGGGGTGCCAGCAGGACACCCGTGCGGAGATGTCTTGCAGGTGGTTGGAGGTGGAAGTCTGCAGCTCCAATTCAAAGGATCCAGCTCCAGCTTCTATTCACAAGATTAAAGTGTATTAAGTTAATGAGTGCCCCTGCCGTTGGCTTGTTTCAGGGTTCATTTTCACTTGCTTTCTCAAAATGTTGGAAAGAATATATGGCTGTTAAACTCCTACTACCTCTCCTCTTAGATTTTTTAAAAAATAGTACCGGAATTGAAAGCAGACCAATTAATGTATGTATAACTAATTGTGCCTACAGAATTGGGGATTATTCAACTCACTTCTCCTTCAACCAAAAGGTTGGTTAATCCATTTATTGTTAAATGGATTAACAAACAACCCATAATGAAAGCATTACATTCAGTCTATAAGTCGCAATGATTTAAAAGTAATTGGGTTGGCTGGGCGCAGTGGCTCAGGCCTGTAATCCCAGCACTTTGGGAGGCTGAGGCGGGCGGATCACAAGGTCAGGAGATAGAGACCATCCTGGCTAACATGGTGAAACCCATCTCTACTAAAAACAAACAAAAAAATTAGCCGGGTGTGGTGGTGGGTGCCTGTAGTCCCAGCTACTCTGGAGGCTGAGACAGGAGAATGGCATGAACGTGGGAGATGGAGCTTGCAGTGAGCCAAGATCGTGCCACTGCACTCCAGCCTGGGTGACAGAGCAAGACTCTGTCTCAAAAAAAAAAAAAAAATAGTAGTTGGGTCTATAGGTCTTGCCTCCTGAGATATTGTGGATCTGTTGTTTCTTCCAAAGCTTTGTCTGGATTGTCCAAATTAGCTTGCATTGCTTAAATACTCCTGAAGTCATTTAAGTTCTAAAGTCATTTTCCTGTTTAAGAAGAATTCTGGGCCAGGTGTGGTGGCTCACGCCTGGAATCCCAGCACTTTGGGAGGCCAACACAGGCGGATCACTTGAGGTCAGGAGTTTGAGACCAGCCTGGCCAATGTGGTGAAACCCCATCTCTACTAAAAATACAAAAATTAGTCATGTGTGGTGGTGGGTGCCTGTAGTCCCAGCTACTTGGGAGGCTGAGGCAGGAGAATCGCTTGAACTTGGGAGGCAGATGTTGCAGTGAAGTGAGATCACACTGCACTCCAGCCTTGGCAACAGAGCAAGACTCTGTCCCCCTGCCCCCCTCCCCCCAAAAAAAAGAGAAGAAAAGAAGGAGGAGAAGGAGAAAGAAGAAGAAGAAGAAGAAGGAGAAGGAGAAGGAGAAGGAGAAGGAGAGAAGGAGGAGGAGGAGGAGGGAGAAGAAGAAAAATTCTGTTGGAGAATTTTAATGAAAATTAGAAATTGGTTTCACTTAATCCATTGAATAAATACTGAGTGCCTACTAGGTGTCATGTGCTGGGATACAGTTGAATCAGAGACACAGTTCAGCTGGTGCTAATGGCAGAAAAGGAGAAAAGAGAAGCTGTCTCTAATAATTTTTTTAAAATGCAGCGACCTCAGAAAGAGGTCAAGAAGTCCTTTCCAGGGAAATTATGTTTAAACTGAGACTTGTGACTTGAACCTGGAGGACAAACAGAATAGGGTACAGTGGAGAAAATAAGAAATGACAGTAAAGAAAATGTCTGGAGTGCAGACATCAAAAGGAGAGAGAGAGACAGTAAGGGGAGAGAGAGAGACAGAGAGAAAGGGCAGGCCAGAGAGAGAGAGAGAGAAAGGGAGAGAGAGGGGCCAGGCCAGAGAAAGAGAGAGAGGGCGAGAGAGAGAGAGAGAGGCCAGGCCAGAGAGCGAGAAAGGGAGAGAGAG